AATCCAGGAAGAAAACAGTGGCAAACCGTATCTGTATACAGATACTCCTCGACTTACAACAGTTCACTTAGTGGCCGTCTGAAATTACCTCAGCACTGAAAAAAAGTAGCTTATGACCGTTTTTCACACTTATGACCGTTGCAGCCAATGGGGATTCATCAGTCACAAATTCTTTTTAGAATTGAGCATCCCCCTTCTTACGGCCAGTTGAGGATGAATGTTGTGTCAAAGAAGAAGACTTCACATTTACTATGCTAGGTTTGTGGCAAGGCAAAGTTTTACATGTTCATGATGGTTCTGAAGAAAACTATGATTATTTCACTTTCTCTGTTTCTACAAGCAGCAAAAGGAAGATGCCTCCATATCTCCAATGAGGAAATGATGAATATATGTTTACTATCACAGTGAGACCAATAAATGATGCTCCAGAACTTGTATTCCCAAATGGAAACTTACCGGTATTTCCTCTCTTAGAATACTCCCAAGAAATGCCTGAGCATGGATTCCATAAATATTGTGGACAATGACACAAGTGCTGCAGATCTTAGTCCTACAGTCCTTGGAAATTCAAATGCAGATGCAGGTTTTCTAGAAAATTCCAAAACTCCTGGGAAAACTATTACTACCTTTTCCTACGAGGATTTACAACACGGTAATGTTTTCTTTGTCCACACACTGGAGTTCACTGATCACGTGATTAAAATTCAGACACTTGACAACTGACTCATATTTATGACAGTTGCGACCTTCTGACAAGCAAAGTCAATTGGGAAGCCAGCTGTGACTTAACAACTCTGTTACTAACTTCACAATTACAGGGACTCACTTCACAAGGGTGGCAAGAAAAATGGGGCAAAACCCACTTGACAAATGTCTCACTTAACAACAGAAATGTTGGGCTCAGTTGTGGTCGTAGGTTGAGGACTACCTGTACAGGTTCCCGTGCAAGGATCAATCTCGGCAGGTCATTAACCAAACTCTTTCCTAAGCATCACAACCGTGGGAAAAGTACAAATTGAACAGCTTGTTTCTGGTGACAATAGAAGAGAAAACTCTGTGTGGGCATAAAATGAGTTTTGATGAGCTTTACAGAGGAATGTCTTTTCTCAAACAGGATACTTTGGACAAGATGGAAAGGTCAATTGATGGACAAGTTGACTTCTTTTGCAAAGCTGGTTTAATAATGCTTCATAGAATAAGCCATCATTGGCTGGATTCTCCAGATCCACTCAACCAAAGCTAAGCAGGCCCCAAGCTGGCTTAAAACACGGTCTGAACCCACCAAACCAAGATAGCACTGGATGAAGCTTGCTAATGAACCCTTCTGTGCAGTAAACCTGCTTGTCTTGGAAAAATTCTCCTTATTTACTTATGATCCAATCTCTCTCCATTTAAATTAACTTTCCCCAACGTGATCTCCTTTGGACTTCAAACAAACCCTTGTCCCCAAAATCAGAACCTTAATCTCTATTGGGGGCAATTATGACTTTCCCCACCCCCAGAAATCTCAGCGGGCTTAGAACAAAACTCTCCCTAATCTAATCTTTTTTTTTCTGTCCAAAACGGCATAAAATTGATTAAATAGAGTTTGCGCATGTAATCATTCCCCCAGTTAAATTAAAAATTAAACTTCCAAAGGCTTCTGGGGGCTGCTTGGGAAATTGCAAGGGCCTCGTGCAGATCCCGGGAGCTCTCTGTGCAATTTTTATTTTGCAGCTCAAAAGTTGTGGGTTTTTTTGGCCGAGAGGAACAAATTGCCAAATTGCTTGTGTCCTACCCTCTCTTGTTTTCCTCTCTTTGTCTGGGGTGGGGTGGGGAGGAAGCTGGACCGGAGACAATCCAGTGCAATTGTCACCCGCAAGAGCTGCGAAGGGGGGTGGGCAGGAGGGAGAAAATTAAAAAGAAAAAAAACAAAACCTAAGAGGGGTGGGGGAAAGAAAGATCTAACTTAACACAAGAGAAACTATCTTGCACTTGGTGAGTTACTTAGCAACAGCACAAATAGCCGGGGAAGCGAGAGAAAAGAGGCAGTGTGTGGCAAAAATATGGGGGTGAGGGAGTGTGACAGAATGCATATGGGGCTGATCATCTTCATTGGCTCTTGGGAACGCAAGAGAGCTTTGGACCAGTGATGTGGAAAAAAACAACAACAACACAAGGCCTGCAGGGTAGACGGTGCAATGGAGGAATTTATGGAGGACTTGTAAAGAAGAAACAGGGGCGACATGGTAGCAGGATTCCAGGATTTGAGAGGCTGCCACAAAGAAGAGGGGGTCAAATTATTCTCCAAAGCACCAGAGGGCAGGACGAGAAGCAATGGATGGAAACTAACCAAGGAGAGAAGCAACCTTAGAAGAAAGGAGAAACGTCCTGAGAACAATTAATCAGTGGAATGGTTTGCCTCCAGAAGTTGTGGGCGCTCCATCGCTGGAGGTTTTTAAGAAGAGACTGGACAACCATTTGCCTGAAATGTTATAGGGTCTCCTGCTTGAGCAGGGGGGTTGGACTTGAAGATCTAGAAGATCTAGAAAGAGTACAGAGAAGAGCAACAAAGATGATTAGGGGACTGGAGGCTAAAGCATATAAGGAACGGCTGCTGGAATTGGGTATGTCTAGTTTAACGAAGAGAAGGACGAGGGGGGACATGATAAAAGTCTTCCAATATCTCAGGGGCTGCCCCAAAGAAGAGGGAGTCAAGCTATTTTCCAAAGCGCCTGAAGGCAGGACAAGAAGCAACGGATGGAAACTAACCAAAGAGAGAAGCAACCTAGAACTAAGGTGAAACTTCCTGACAGTTAGAACAATTAACCAGTGGAACAACCTGCCTCCAGAAGCGGTGAATGCTCCAACACTGGAAGTTTTTAAGAAGAAACTGGACAGCCATTTGTCCGAAATGGTATAGGGTTTCTTGCCTGAGCAGGGGGTTGGACTAGATGACCTCCAAGGTCCCTTCCAACTTTACTATTATTATTATTATTATCTCCAAAGTCCCTTCTAACTCTTATTCTGTTAAGGGATCAGTGTTTGTGTGTGTGGTTTGAAAAGGCTAGGAGCTGGTATTTACTTGGAAAAAGTGTACTTTGGCTTGCTAAGATAAGTAGACTGCACTCAGGGTGTCAACAAAATATGGATGTAAGTAGATGGGCAACAGTATTACGTGAACTGCCTGTCTACAGCTGTAGTTGCCAGACACCAGCCTTGCTGACCAATATTTTTCAGACCTACAACTCTACAAACCATGTCTTGTTTACAACTTGGCAGTCACCAAGCTGGGGGCCGAAGTGGGATTTGGGATATTGCATGATTTGGTAATCTTAGTTTGCATGTTAAGGTTGTAGTCGCTAGTTCCTTAATTTTGAGGGAGTAAAAGGAAATAAAGCTGCGGAAAACTGTGGGATTAGGATTAACTCTCCCTACATTGGGTCATACAGTGGCTGTCTTTGGTCCTTTCCCGACTGCCAGCTTTCCGTTGTTTTGTCTTAATGCAGTTTGGCTCACTTTCTTGAGCCACCTGAAATGTTGATCTCCGGGATCTATTAGCAGGTATGTACATTTGGGCAAATGGATACTAACACAAGAGACGCTTCCGAACGGTGAGGAATAAAAGGAATGTTGTATCTTGAACCAGGAACTCTAAAAGGGTTTGACTGCCAATCCATTTGATGACCTTAGACTCCAAGCTGTTTCTCTTTTTCCAGTTCTACCCCCATCCTTGCCAGATGTGCATGTGCACAGCTGTCCTTGCAGTTCTGGTCATTTTATGAAAAAGTTACCCATCCACTCTCTGACCCAAAGGTGGGTTTTTTTCCCCCCAAAAGGCAATTAGACTTTCTGGGTTTTTTTTGTCTGAAAACTGAAGAAGCTTCTTGGATGAGAAACGAAACGTTTTCAAACAAAAAAAACGAGAAAGTCCAGTTGCCTTTCGGAAAAAGCATCTTGGGGACAACCATGACCTGGAGAATTGAGAATCTCCAAAGACTGTCTAAAGCTTTCCCAGAGAAAGGTCCACATGTCCACGAGAAAGACCTCCCTCCAACCCGAAGGAGGGTGTCACAAGTGTTAACACACCCAACTGCATTACTTGGGCTTCTGAATGAGCCTTAACGCCTCCAAAGGCAATCGTCGCTAGCCTCCCCAAATTTCGGGCTGTGTTGATGTAGGAGGCTGAATTAAAATAATAATAATAATAATAATAATAATAATAATAATAATAATAATAATAATAATAATAATAATAATGAGGAGGAGGAGGAGGAGGAGGAGGAGGAGGAGAAGAAGAGAGGAAGGAGGAGGAGGAGGAAGAAAGAAGAAGAAGAGGAAGGAGGAGGAGGAGGAAGAGGAAAAAGAAGAAGAAAAGAGGAAGGAGGAGGAGGAAGAAAGAAGAAGAGGAAGGAAGAAGGAAGAGGAAGAGGAAGGAGGAGGAGGAGGAGGAGGAGAAGAAGGAGAAGGAGGAGGAGGAGGAGGAGAAGGAGAAGAAGAAGAAGAAGAAGAAGAAGAAGAAGAAGAAGAAGAAGAAGAAGAAGAAGAAGAAGAAGAAGAAGAAGAAGAAGAAGAAGAAGACAAGGAAACAAAATATGCGCCATGCCAGAGGTGTAGGCATTAGGGGCAAGGCATTTTAACGCATCTGCCTAAACCTCGCAGTCTTGAGCCACACATCAGTAAACAAGAAAGAATTCGAGCAATCTTAGCAAAGTTTGCACAAGTTTGCAAAGTTTGCACAAATTTAGCAAACGGCTAAATTTCCCAAGAACGATCCTTTCGGTTTAGTGGGGTTTTTTTTTTTTTTTTTGGGGCTAAGGGTGGGGAGCCGAGGGAAGCCAACGCGTAAAACTTTCCAAGTTTTCTGCGCCCCCCCACCCCCGCGCGCACCATTCTTCGCTCGCACCTGCCTTAACGTCCCCCCGGGGGGGGGGAGGCGAAGCTCCCCGTCTTTACCCCACCCCACCCTAAATCCTTCCTCTTCCCTCCCTCCCTCCCTCCCCCCCCCTTTGGACACCCACCGTTCTCAGAGGCCGGGAACCCTTGGCAGGGAGAGATGAGCTGCTGAGGGTTGCGCTGTTTCCTCCGAGACATGCCGGCAGGGGTGGAGACCCCCAAGTCTCTCTCTCTTTGGTGGGGAGCCAGGGACCCCCTGATTGCACTCTCCCAGGAATGGCATCCCTCCTGCCCGGACCCCCCCCCCCTCACACACACCTCCTCCTCCTCCTCCTCCTCTTCCCCTTTCACACTCAATTCTCAGGGGACACGCCCCCCCTCCTTTGTGTCCCTCATTGTAAAAGCAAAACTCTTAATCTTTCTGTACACTCCGTCTTTTGTACTAGAAGGGATTGGGGAAGGAGGGGGGGGGGAGAGAAGGAGGAGGACGAAAGGGCCCTTTTAACTCTTCTCTGCCCGGGTGTTCTCCTTCCCTCCCCCTCCCCACCCCCCCACCCCCCGCAGTCTTTGGAAATGGTCAAAATTCCACGGGGATCTTTTCCAAGGCAGAGCCCCCGACGGAGCTGGAAGAAAGGAAAGCGGCGCTTCCTTTTGGAAGCGGGACGAACGGAGGAGATTCCTTCCCTCTTCGCAACGTTTCTTAAATTTTGTCGGTTGGGGCTGCGGGGGGGGGGCGGTGTGTGTGTGTGTGTTGGGGGGGGGGGAAGGTTAGCCAAAGGAAGGAAAATAAAGTTGGAAGGTTTAGTAGCGAGTTGAGTGCTGGGAAGTGTCCGGGCAAAAACTCCCCATCTCTGCCTGTTTTTTTTTTAAAAATAATGTAGGCTCTGTTGAGTTGATCGACCGACGAATAGATAGATAGATAGATAGATAGATAGATAGATAGATAGATAGATAGATAGATAGATAGATAGATAGATAGATAGATAGATAGATAGATAGATAGATAGATAGATAATAACCAGCTGCTCCCATAAGACTTTGGGTCTCATGCGTCCTTCTTATCCTTTTACTTCCTCTTCTGTTTCTTCAAAGTTGACCAGCATAACCTTCCTTCCTTCCTTCCTCCCACCCCTCTCTTTTTTTCTTTCCTTCCTTCCCTTTCTTTCCTCCCTTCCTTTCCTCCTCCTCCATCTTCTTCCATCTCCTTCCTTCCTCCCTTCCTCCCTTTCCTCCTCCATTTCCTTCCATCTTCTTCTCCATCTCCTTCCTTCTTTCCTCCCTTCCGTTCATCCTCCTCCATCTTCTTCCATCTCCTTCTCCCTCTCCTTCCTTCTTTCCTTCCTCCATCCCTCCCTCCCTTCCTTCTTTCCTCCCTTCCTTTCCTCCTCCTCCATCTTCTTCCATCTCCTTCTCCCTCTACTTCCTTCCTCCCTCCCTCCCTTCCTTCTTTCCTCCCTTCCTTTCCTCCTCCTCCTCCATCTTCTTCCATCTCCTTCTCCTTCTCCATCTTCTTCCTCCCTCCCTCCCTTCCTTCTTTCCTCCCTTCCTTTCCTCCTCCTCCTCCATCTTCTTCCATCTCCTTCTCCATCTTCTTCCTTCCTTCCTTCCTTCCTTCCTTCCTCCCTCCCTCCCTTCCTTTCCTCCTCCCTCTTCTTCCCTCTCCTTCCTTCCTTCCTTCCTTCCTTCCTTCCTTCCTTCCTTCCTTCCTTCCTTCCTTCCTTCCTTCCTTCCTCCTCCTTTCCTTTCTTTCCTTTCCTCCTCCTCCATCTCCTCTTCCATCTCCTCCTCCTCCCCTTCCTTCCTTCCTTCCTTCCTTCCTTCCCCCTCCTCCTTCCCTCCCCCCCTCTCTCTCTCTTTCATCAGCCACTTGGATCTTGCGCCCAAAGCGGGTGAGAGGCAGCTTGAGGTCGGATTGCTTGATTCTCATTGGATCCTTCACTTTCCTCTTCGAAAATTCATGCAGAAAATCAAGACGATGATTTGGTGCGTAACAGGTTCATCTTCCTCCTCCTGCTGAACCTTACCAAATTTAGACTTCTGGCTTTTTGAAATGTTTTGCAAAGAGTATTTTTCAACGAGGTGGGTTGTGGCAATGAACACAATGAAGTAAAATCTGCTGTTTAGGATAATCTATTAAAAAAAACACCATTATTTTCATGTATTGGTCAATCAGCCCTAAAGGGAAAAAAAAGTGTTGGTCCTTTAAGAAAGATTTGATCCTGAGATTTAGTGGGTAGTGCATAGTTTATTAGAGGCTGTAGACCAGGGGTAGTCAACCTTGGCTCTTTTATGACTCGTGGACTTCAACTCCCAGAATTCCTGAGCCAGCTATGCTGGCTCAGGAATTCTGGGAGTTGAAGTCCACGAGTCATAAAAGAGCCAAGGTTGACTACCCCTGCGTGTAGACCATCACTTGCCAAGCTGTGTGATTCTTCAACTTGTTTGGCATAGGTTTTAGCAAGCCTTACTTTTCTCTACCAGTGAAATGGAAACAATATATATTGGTCAAGGCAGTTATGTTGGGTTAAATGTGGGCTCCAACTCCCAGAATTCCCCAGCCCGCCATACCGGCTGGGGAATTCTGGGAGTTGAAGTCCACACCTCTGAAAGTTGCCCCAGGTGGAGAAACATTGGATTAAGGAAATGTGGTCAGCCATTTCCGAATCTTGTTATAACCTACCAAAAATAAAGATGGACTGAAATTCATCAGGGCTGCTAAAAGTTTGTGATATTCAGAATTTCAAGAGAACGGGAGTTTGAAACCTGACTTTATCCTTCTTGTTACGTTCTTGAGTGGTTTGTCATGGCCTCCTTGTGACGGATGTGCTCCAGCTTCACTCTCGCCACCCCTGGATTTCCTGGTGGTGTCCCATCCAAGAATTCACCCAGTCTGACCACATTTAGCCTCTGAGTTCAGGGAAGGCCAGTCAGGTGCCACCACCACTTGCTCTGAAGCCTGAAGCTCTCATCTAGGGCTGGTTTCCGTCCCCAAAGACCCCTGTACATCGTGTGGTCCTTGAGGAACAACCTCTATAACCGAAGAAGCAACTTGGATGAGCAGCAAAATGTTTCAAGAAAGTCCAGATGCCTTTGGGACAGCAGTGACCTGAGTGAATATAGACAACAAGCGCTATATTTCCCCCAAATTGACCTCCGAGGTCAATGTGGGGCTGGCTTGGTCACCAGGGTGAGAGCCTGCATTAAGCTGGCGCACATCCCAAGAATAACAACTGCGTTTATGGATCACCTTCCTCTCTCAGTGGTTTTGGACCACAGGGGAATAGTGGCATTTGGTATTTGATCTGCCTGGAAAAAAAAAAAGTGTTATATGTAAAAGTCCCACAAGAGGGCATGGCAATATTTTGGGGGTGGTATGTATGTATTGTGTGTTCACATCTCTGTTATTTTATTTTGAAACTTTAGGGGAAAAAAACAGAGCTTAAAAGAGGAGGGTCTTTTTCTCAGAATCTTTCCCTTCAACAAACCTTCTTCTTTCCTTCTTTCCTTCTTTCTTTCCTTCCTTCCTTCCTTCCCTTCCTCCCTTCCTCCCTCCCTCCCTCCCTTTTCCCTTCCACTTTCCTCTCTTATTTCCTTCTCTCACCACTTATCCTATTTTTTATTTTTTCTCTATTGCTTCTTTCCCCTTCCTTCCTTCCTTCCTTCCTTCCTTCCTTCCTTCCTTCCTTCCTTCCTTCCCTCCCTCCCCTGCTTTTCTCCCTTCCCTTCCCTTCCCGCTTTCCACCCACCCCAGCCGTAGCTCCCTGGGCCATCCAGTAGAGGAGCAGCAGCCTTGGGCAGCCACCCACCCACCCACCCACCCATCCCGTCTCCCCTCCCCCTTCGGAAGCCGCATCTTTGATTCCACCACCACTCCTGCCTCCTTTTTACCTCTTCTCTGTGGCCTTTTGACCTCCCCCCGGAGCTACAAAAGTAAAATCCTCGGAGAAGCTCGCTGCGGGAATGTTAATGAATCCGCAGCACAAAGGCGTAAAGACTTTTACTTCAGTGGATTGGGAGGGGGGGAATGGGCCTCATTGAGATGATATTTCTGTGTGGGGTGAAGATGTTGAGGTGGGGGATGAGAGGGAGACCCCTAGCATTATCTCCAGATCTGCCATGAAAAAATAGGAAGAGCAAAGATTTCCTTCCTTCCTTCCTAAAACTTTAGATCCGGCCACCTCTTCATTTGCTCACTAACTTGAGAATTACCGTACCTGAAGCTCCAAAGTTAGAAGACCTAATGCCAGAAAAAACAAAACAAAAAAAAGCCCTCAATCTTTAGGAAGGAAAATAGGAAAAAAACAAACATACAAACAAGAAACAAGAGCAATTTTCCATTTATTTCCTTGCTACAAAGCAAACAGGACGTCTTTTTTTTTTTTTCAATATAAAATTTTTATTATTTTCCAAAAATAAAACACATCACAAGTATTACACAATATTATATTATATCCCCCCCCCGGACTTCCCAAACCAAGTCCCAGGCTAATATTCAAATATAGGTAAACAAATATTAATATCTCTAACTCCACAAACTCTATTTATAAACAATCCATCTCCTCCACATTAATAAAAAAATTATACATTTAAGTAATTCAAATACACCAAAGTCTATATCAATTCAGCAGGTATCACCAGTAGCTCTTCCTCTCTATTAAAACATGATTATCATATTTA